TATATTCTTACAATACAGTTAGCTACAGAAAAGAGTATGTTAAGAAAATCATAAGGAAGAGAAAATATATTTACTATTAATTAAATAAAAGTAGATCATCATTAAGGTCTTTATCCTTATTCTTCACATTGAATAAGGTGAGGAAAAGGAGTGGTTGGTCTTACTGTGTCAGGGGTGAAAGAGGCAGAAGAAAATCTGTGTATAAGTGGACCCACATCTTTCAAACCCTGCTTTGTTCAAGAGTAAACTCTACTTGTTAAGGAAATAAGTAAAACTTGATTCCTGTTTAGAATGTTTTTTGCAATGTCTGCAGTAGATTTTCATGATTAATAGCTTGGTAGGATTATAGAACTAGTTTAACTGAAAAGGATTTTGCACATAACTTACTATAAATAAGGCTTTCTTTGTAAAGGTCTAAAGTATTTGTACTATTGAGAAAAAGGTTTGAAGTATTTTTTATCTTCTCCTTTCCTATCTAGTGACTTGGAGAATGAGGTTGAAAATAAGATGGCCCAGATATTAAATCTTCAGCAACATTTATCTGACCTTGAAAAAGATATTAAACGCAATGAGGAACTTCTTAAAAGGTGCCAACTACATTATAAAGAACTGGAGGTAAAAAAATAAATAAACATTCTTTTGTTTTTTTTTCAACTTACTACTACCAAGTTGATTTTAAGATCCCATTATTAACTTCGAGTAATTCTCAGACCTTTTGGCCTCAAGCCCCTTTACACTCATCAAAGAGCTTTCATTTCTGTGGGTATATCTATCAACGTTTACATTTTTAAAAATTAAAACAAAATTTAAGAATATTTATTAATTCATGTATTAGCCTGTTTTCACGCTGCTGATAAAGACATAATAGAGACTGGGTAATTAATGGACTCACAGTTTCACGTGGCTGGGGAGGCCTCACAATCATGGCAGAAGGCAAAAGGCACGTCTTACATGGCGGCAGCCACGAGAGAAAGAGAGCCAAGCAAAAGGGGAAACCCCTTATAAAACCATCAGCTCTCATGAGACTTATTCACTACCACAAGAACAGTAGGGGGTAGCTGCCTCCATGGTTCAATTATCTCCCATCAGGTTCCTTCCACAACACATGGGATTATGGGAACTTAAATTCAAGGTGAGATCTGGGTAGGGACACAGCCAAACCATATCAAATCATTTAAAAATAATAATAAACTTAGTTAACAGAAATATTTTTTACTTAAAAAAACAAATTTTTGAAACCAAAAAGATTTTGTGAGAAGATTGGAATATTTTTGTAAGTCTCTAATGTTCAGTTTAATAAAATTCAATTAAATAGTTGTATCAGTTTTTGCAGTCTGTTGCGATATTACAAATCATACATTTATAAACCTTATATACACTCATGAAAAAATGCTAATAAAAATGGCAAATAATGTCTAATTGTTTTTACGAAAATAGTTTTGGCCTCACAGACTATCTGAAAGGATATCAGAAACCCCCATAGGTTACTTGGTTCATACTTGGAAAACCACTGGATTAGAATAATCATTCCATAACTTGAGACTTTGGATGTTTCAGAAAAATTTTTCTCAATGGACTCAACAGTGCCATCATTTAAAATGCTAAGATGGATTACTTACATCTCTTTTTGGATTAGTATATAAGAGTGATATGGCAGAATTTATATGTAATTTCTTTTGGTTGATTTAATACTAATGTACCCCTTTCATTAATTATGGAATCCTTCTGTATCATCAACATTGTAGAGCTTTGTAGATTAATACATCCTTTCCAAGGTTTTTGGTTTAAATTTTTTCTTTATGTTACTAAAATCCAAATACTTTTCTTTTAGATGAAAATAAGAAAAAGTAATTCTGAAATTCGGGAACTTGAGAACATAGAAGAACACCAGTCTGTAGATATTGCAACTTTGGTAAAATACTTTTTTTCAATTTAAATGTAATATTAAAGGATAAAGCCACCATTCAGGTTAATGGCATCTACTCAGCTTTTTTAGAAAGTTCTTTTAATTGAAGCTACTCTTTATGATTGCTGTCTCCATTCACCAAGAAGGTAAAAACTACCTGGTATATAGCCTTCATATTTTTTAATGTTGTGTGT